ACTGAAAGTAAAAGAACGGCTAGACCGCGACGCAATCAGAGTGGAACGCCCGAGAAAACGACCGCTAATTGGATCATTATCATTGAAATCGCAGACAAGAATCATGTTTGAGGAAATGTATGTCATTTATGAAATGGCGGTCAGAGGCCGAACCTGTTGTTAGAGTATTTATTACGATTAATAATGAAAGACTAACATACGAGGCACACGTATCAAGTACGTACCAAGTGGGTTAGAATAAACGAATATTTAATGAAGAATTGCTTTTGCCTCTTATGCGTTGCTGAAAAAACCACGTTATACTGTTACAGTGCTTCCTTATTACCTTAGTTTCGAATTTATTATATATTGCAAAAACAAGAAGACGCGGTAAACGGCACGTGAAATATCTCATTATTATGTATTGCAACACGTGAGAGATAGTTCATAGTTTGAGCTTTTATATAAGGAAATAAAAAACAAGAATTTTAGACCTTTTAAATTAACTAATATATATGAAGGGTACAATTATCTTATTTTTAGATTGCTTTTATCATCAAATTACCAACACAAAAAGGTTAAAAGATCTAAAAATATCCCTGCTCAAAAGTCTACGGGTTTGTCATTATAATTCCCATGTACTGTGTTTGATATAAACGTACATTGTAACCTTTCATTTAATCGTGACCTTCGCGTTATTCGGTTTTTCATCGCACAGCGAGTGTTGCAAACCGACCTCGGCGAGATCTGTGAGTAATCCGCACAGTTTCTTATAATATTCACACGATTCGGTTGAGATGTATTTACATGGTTGCACACACACACACACTTGGAGCCAACCGCCGTCTCGGCTAGCTAGGCGCAGGGGTTATTATCAGGCGCACCTATCAAACTTGATAGATGATAGCGAGCGGCGCGCTAAATAATTTATGAGGGAACGAGTTAAACAATTTTCACGTCCGGTTTGATCGCGGATCCGTCGTCTTAATCTATTTTCGTTGCATTCGCCTCGCAGCGGAATTGCGTTTCCTCCTAACGAGGGAAGCGGCTGTCTCCCGGCGTAACGCACTTGGTGCATAATGAACCTGACATGATTATAATGAGTCGACTAATTTCGTGATATGACTGCGACACGCTTCAACTCCGTCACAGAATCTCTCTATCAGGTTTCATCCTTTTTACAAACGTGTAATACGATACGTTAAGAGGCTCCTGTAACTAAAAATTCTATTTAATGGTTTTGCTAGAGAAATTAAAACATCTGACGTTGGATATATTGTTATGAATAAATCATAAATTGTGTGGCATAAGTTAATGTAATTTGTGTGGCATAAGTTAATGTAATTTATATTGTATAAATGATCGATTTGAACCTTAGTGAAACACTGAATTGGAATAGAATAAATAAATCTATTAGTATGATATGAATATCTCATCTGAAAGTTGGAATGTTAGTGAAATTAAAATGCAAACAGAAAATTATCTAACAACTTGTTTCATTATTCGGCATAATTAATTTCAATCTCACAATATCCATATATTCAGTGCATAAATACTTTAATTGCAAAAATCATCCGCCATACTTTCATTGTGTATGCTCAGAATTATTAATTACCGCCACTTATTCGATTATGAAATTTGGCATAAGTGAGTGCGGCGGATCGGCCGGCATTGACACGATAAAGGTATTATCGCTCGCGACAATCCTTCAACCTGCCACTGCGGCAAGAGAGCGCTTATTACGGATTATAGATTATCAATAATGAGCGAGACGCGGAGCGAACGAGACGGCCCGCGGATAAATAGCATCTAATTACGCTGATTAATACCCATCCCGCGATTTTTCACTGCCCTTGGCCATTTGAACGACGATCTCGAGCCGATCCGCAAACAGTGCCTACCTGCCATCGGTAAATCTTAATTGACTGGTTCTTTGAAAACTGATCTAAATAATCCACACCATAAAATTGCGAATAATCTCTCGTCTCTTTTCTTAATTCTCTCTTAATTCTTCTTGTCTTCTGCTTTATAATATTTCTAACTTGATAGTATGACAAATGTAATGATATGTTTCTCGCTTCGCGAGACATAATTTTCACAGAGAAGCAATCTACTGGTATTCATAGTGGATCATTTTATTGATGCAATTTTTATACGTTCATGATCTTGTCAACTCGTTGAAGTATTAAATTTTTACCTTTAATTTACAATTCTAAACATCTTTCTTGATTTTCTGCTTACGTCATGATCGCAAACTTAGCATTCAGATGTAAAACAGTTTTATCTTCAAAATTTAATACAATTAACTCTTATATTCATGTAAGTATAATTCAGGGACAATAATCTGTTATATATTCTCTAGGAAAGAGAGAGAAAGAGAAAGAGAGAGAGAGAGAGAGAGAGAGAGAGAGAGAAAGAGGTGTTATTTCTAAAATAAATACTTCCTTTATGTAATGACATAGAATGAAAGTTTAACTAAAATTTTCCAGTGTAAAGCATAGAAAATTCATAATCAAAATTATCAACAGATCACGTAGTCAGAAATCATGCGATGAAGCGTAAATGTTTTATCAGTATGACGCAACGCTTTGCGCTGAAGTCACCGACGGCAGGTTCGCGTGAAGTTTCCCGCGGCCGGCTAAATCTTATTTGTTAATAATGCGGCGTCATAGATTTTCAGCGCTTAGATATGAATTCTGAAGTCGTACAAAGGAATCTATATCACTGACGTAGGTATAATCAATATATTGGAACGCTGGCTTCCCCACGAAGAGCAAAGTCGCGGCGGGCGCGACCGAAGACTTCCATCTAAGCTTGTTTCGCGCGATCGAGATAACCCGGGGGTTCCAGTATTACCCGGTCAATCATAATTCCCGATCTTTTATTCAATTCCAGCCATTAGCATGCATATGCGCACGGCGAAGCGATCGAGGATCCGCCGATCCCCGCCGGAGATACCGTCGGGGATAGCGGATTGTCCTCGTAAAATCACTGAAATTCCATGTTTATTCAATATGTCGGGACGCCCTGCCGGCTCGATGCGCGTCTTATCTCGCGCGCGTTCAGATAAGATGGGAAACGATTTTCGGTACGAGACTTTCGCCACGAATCACGCGCGGTTATTGCTCTTCGGACGTCAGCCCGAGCCGACGCCATTTTAATCAATACCGGGGAGATTTTGCGCAATATTGGCGGCATGGGCTCAAAATCTCTCCTCCTACGGTGCTGAACAATCAGACAACAATGTCATTCGGATGAAATTTTACACTGCTTTTCATTGATCTTGTCACGACACTTTTGAATTTTTACGCGACTTGAAGCAAGCCTTTTCACAATCGTTGTGTCAATTGTGAATATATTTAAGTGTCAACATAATTTTTTCGCCGTATTAGATTACGTGTTTAAAGCCACTTTATAAAGGTTCAATTCACTCGACGCTCGATGAAATGTTTACCTTGCGCCACGGTTACAAATGGCGCAAAATTAAGATAAATTCGCGATCGTCCGCCATCGACGCCGGCCTCCATTTTCGTGCCGCACGAACATAATAATTCCCGTCGAAAGTATACAGTACTTAATTCGATATCGATATCGATCACGCGCGAGATAGGCCGCCGTAAATTATAACGTTTCGTCGCCCCGGATGCAACAATTCTCGGATCGAACGCCAAGCTTGGAAAAAATGAAGGAAATTGTTGGTCACATAATAATAACTTTTGTCAATAATTAACGGCAATAAATAACGATAAAGTTATCTTTAAGGAATGTACAAAATAAACGTTGAGAATTGAGAATTTTCAGAATGCTAAAGGAGACGGAAGTGTAGGGAGAGCTCAAAATTGAACTTCTGACAGAATTAACTGAATGACTGAAATAACTGAAAAATTAAAAATTTAGATCAATTGAAATCTACGAGAAGTATTCCCGGGGATTTTCTGTTTTAATTCGATTCCGGCAAAAGTTATTTCCAAGAACGGCTTGGGAATTTCAAGTTGAGTTTGGTGAAATCAGGCCTAAGTTTGAGTTGGAAATCATGTTGTCAGATTATGTCTAACAATGATTATTGCTGCCATAATCTCTCCGTTACTCGCGTCACGCTCCGCTTGACACTACAACGAATAAAAGAAGCGATCGGACTTGTAAAGCGCGCGCGTGCGCGCGAACTCATCGATTTACATCGGCAAAGTGGCGAGCACGAAAGCGAGCGCCAGTGCAGCTGCTCGATCGGAGGAAAAGATTGAAGAGGAATGCACACTTTACTACATGGTTAACTTCATTATCGGAACGCGCGCGTCGGCCGTTACGACAACGGACCGCGTTATTGCTCCGCGGTTAACGTAACTATTGTATTTGTTTTCGTTGCGAGACATGCACTTATGTGCGAACCCGCCGCGCAGCAACAATAGCGAGCGCCGATTAAGTAATTGCGGGTGTGCGCGTCGCTATGTCGCCGTTACCATTTACTCGAATACTTGCCTCTTCCGTTATTGGGTGTGTTAGAGCTGAAGATCTTAGATCCCGGTAACGTCGAACCCTATGATCTTTGAAACTCTCAGGGCGATTCGTGAATGTCTTGATCTTCACGCTTGCGAAGTCTTACAGTATTATATCTTTGAGTCTTCGCTGCCTGAGACTTATAGTTTTCTCGAATTTTCAAGTCTGAGAATAGTAACGCTGAAGCTTCTCATCGCTCTCTCTCTGACAATTTTAATCCTATGCTCTACAAATTTCAAATCTTCTCTACTTTGTGTACTGTTTCTTGAGGTTGAAATACATTTGAGCTTTAGATTGTTCTTATCTTTAAAATTCTGTCTTTTTTCAAGACTTTTTTCTGATAACTTCATGATGTTTTTCGGGTATTTGTGAATTTCTTTTTATATCTGACATACTTGAGGTCGCAATGTAGACATCAAGACAAACTTTGCAATTTTAGATATTTAATTTCATACTGTAACAAATCTTATGTATTTTGCCGTATTTTTACGTATTTTTTTCTGAATATGTCTTTTCTTTTATTTCAGGTTGCGACGGAGAGTCGGACGAGGGTGGCAACAAGAGGCGAAGGAGCAGAACCAACTTCAATAGTTGGCAGTTGGAAGAATTGGAGCGGGCCTTCCTGTCGAGTCATTATCCTGACGTCTTTATGCGAGAAGCTCTGGCTGTGAGGCTCGAATTAAAAGAGAGCCGCGTGGCGGTGAGTTACTTCTTCTATTGTCATTTATTTCCACGATATAATACACTCACGCTAAACGTAGTCGAAACCGTATACATTCACTGAATGGCAGATAACAGAAGTCAAAATAAGAGTGATGACGTGAATAGCCTTTGAGCCCACAAAGCAGTGCAGTCGCGAACGAATAACAACACAGGAAGCAAATTAAAAACCTAACTTTACTCTTCAGTTATTCATTGCATCTTAAATCGTAGCCATTATTTTAATTACCAAGATATTTAATATATCTAAAATTTTACAATGTTGTGCAAAAATGACATATTCTATTCAGCATCTGTTAAGTAAAACATGGAGTTTATTTTTTTCCTTCTATTTCTTTTTTTTCATTATAACAAGCTAGTAAGAAACTAGGGTCATAATCTGAAATAATCAGTGTGTTATAATTCGGAAAGAATCTACACAAACTTAGGATCTGAACTAGAGATCCAACTGTTTTTTTACTATTATTACTACAAGTCTTCGTCCAAACTTGAAGTTTACTAAAAAAAGTTTGTAACATCGAAAAAGATACAGTTTTTAAGATACTTTGTATAAGCGCTGTGTGACTTTTTCGCTAGTAAGAGCCACAGTTCGCAGAAAAGAAGACAAGAAGTGAAACATTAGGTCGAACCGTTTGCGGAATGTAACGGGAGTACGATGCGAAAGGAGATAAAAGCGAAGGGGGTAGATGAAATGCAAAATGGGGAGGCCCGCCGACATAGAAGAAGGGAACTAGTCGCGCTGTTTGCGGGGTCTAACGCGCGTGTCTAAGCAGATAAATATAAATATCCGCTTGAAGGACCTAAGGGTGGCCGTATGTCCGACCGGCCGTGAAATTGAGGGTCTGCCCTTCGCGGTCCTGTCGAAGGATTCAGCTGGATTACGTTCCTAGAACGTAGGCGTGAGCTGTCGGAATACCGGAAGTGGGCTGGCTACGTGGAACAGATTTAATACCTGTTTTATGGAGCCTTAATGACGGATGTCCATATCCTTGTGATAGATGCTTCCGAAGGGTCTACTTGAAGCTTCAATTTATGAAGCTATTTATGAAATTATACTGTATTAAATATTCCATATCGTATTGTGAGTTCGTTTCTATACAAAATTAATTACTTTGATTCATGATCACTTAACTATAGTGATTGGTTTGAATAATGCAATCACGATGAAGGGATCAATCATAATTTTCATGATGGACAGCGTTATGCATTAGTGATGAAAAAATTTATATATCAACAATTATATTTTTTTCAGAAAATCAGATTCTGAGAATATTTATCGAGCTGTATTAATGAGCGAATGAAACAAACGCAAAAGCGTTCAAGTAATCTTTGCAAAAACGTCATTGAGGAACAATAGCGCGCTATCGGCGACGGTGTTATTTAAATGAACGGCCGTCGAACAGATAAATCTGTGTCGATTTTGCACCCTCGGACGGATCTCGAAGGTAACGGAGCAGATGGACTAACTACCCCCTCGAGACGGAGCGAGGGGGCAAAGGTCCGAGGCCGGAACCAACCCTCGATGTCTGTCGGCTTCGAAAACTCAATCCCGAGTCACTTTAAATTCGTGCCTATCGTCTTGGCGATCTTTGATAGTCGCCATTGCAGAATAAATTCGCATAATATGTCGTAGAAACGGGCCAAATACAAGGCGCGCGGAATCGAAAATGGTATCTCAATACGTTAATAAAATAATTTAAAAAATGCGTTAATGAAAGAGCAACAAACTATGATACATAAGCACTCATAGATAACAACGCTAATTATTTGAACAATAGTGTCTTCTGTTAGTGCCACAATAATGTTAAATAATATTTGGTAAATAAAGTCATATCAGTATTAATCATATATATATGTGTATGTTGAAAATGATATTTTTCATAAATTGGTCTGTTGGTAATCGTACGTAATTTTCATTGGCAAAACTGCATGTCAGATATTCCGCTTATGTATTAAATTATTGAACTTTGCAATTCTGTGCATTTTGTAATTGACGTTCTGTTCCGCGCTTATTGTATTAATAAAATTTAGTTTGGTCAAATGAAATCGTCTCGTTTAAATTCTGACGCGCTGAAGACCTAATTCCAATAGCATCGATTATATTCGCGAGAGCGTCTTACATTCGGACGCGAGTCAACAATATCGATCGGTCGTCGGTTTATCTGGCACTGCTACGTTATTTCAAAGAGATGCCCGCAGAAATACCATACGCTCACGAGGGTTATCGTACGTGGTGATCGATGTTATCTAATCTGAGAGCTATTCCCTGTCGCGGGGATGTCCCTTCGAAAAGACGCACCGGCTGTGTGACATCGTGTCACATTGTGTCACCACTCGGCCGGGTTATCGCCTCCGCCATCTCGCTTGTCTCTCTGCTCAGCAGAATCTGATCTCTCGTCCGAGTTCCGAGGGGACCGAGGACCCGCAGACCCACAAATCCCGAGTGTCAGAATTTTCAGGCATGCCTAGGTGCAATTACACGCCAATTTCGCTTCTTGCTCGCGCTGCTGCGCGCATGTGCGCTTCCGGTTACGCATTATCATGCGAGGCACTCGAACGAGCCATGCTCGGTCATAAATAAGACCGCGAACGACGCGTTTTGATTTATCGCGATTGAGAAAGTCCTCTCTCTCTCTCTCTCTCTCTCTCTCTCTCTCTCTCTCTCTCTCTCTCGCATGCGCGTGACATCGCCATTATCCGGACACAATTTGCATTCGACAAACTCAGAGTATCTATTGCATCGATAAAACGGCAAACTTGTAAGATGTCGGGCCGATCGTAGCCATTAAGCGTGACGCAATTATTCCGCGGCCTTATTGCGATCCTTATTGTTCGTATTTGCCTCATGGCAAGGCTAAATCTACGCAAAATTGACGTTATTTTTCAAGTAGAATATAATAGGGAGTAAATTACGTTATTCCGTTATAGTTATACATATGACTCACAATTTAGAGCGCATGAGAGCGACTCTTCTCCTTATTTTGCGCAAGATACGACTGTACCAATGATCACTGCAGGCATGAGAAAATAATGAGGCAAAAAATTAATTGCAGCACGAAACAGTTTAATCAAACAAGTAAGCATTCTCCCCTTATCGGCGCAACAAAAGACATCGTTTATTAATTGGCGGAAATGTAATTACACTAGAATGCATTATCTCCCCGACAGCATTCGTATGGCGATTACGGTTATCGACTGGACGTCACCTCGTCGAGTTTTTGCCGCTATAAAGATAGACTTTATGCATGTTAATCTAGTCGGTTCGCTTACATTGTAAGCCTGCACCTTCTCGACGCGCTTGTACGCCTGTCTGCACCAGAAGAAAAACAGTTATTTAGTTGATCGAGAACACGACCGGCTCTCATGCGTAATCAGACGAAACAGCTTGTTAAGCACTATCGGGGCCGCCGATAATTCCTGACGAATAGCCACGTTAATGCTCAACTCACACATTTCCCACGCGTTACGTTGGTGTAACACGTTACAGCTGTGCCGGCTTCTGAGCCGCGGGATGCCCCGGTGAGCTTTGAGGATAAGGTTACGTAGTGCGGGGAGAAGTCAGTGTGGCTCCTCGGTGTGACCGAAAAAGTTGGAGAATTAAATAACGTAGCTGCGCGACGGATTCTAATCGAAGCCGTCGAAGTAATCGAATTAATTATGACCGCGCGAAGTTTAATCGCGAGTAACGGAGATTCGCGCATAACGGCAGGAAGGTTAGCACTTTGAACTCATTCCGGAGCTCCGTAAAGTACCCCGAAGTCGAAGAAAGTCGTAAAGCTACGCGACGCAAGAAAGGTGTTTCAGGGAGCCGAGGGGATCTATTGATCTTCGGCTCGCGTGAGCTCAGCGCCGCTCGACGGTCGAGCCGTACAACTAATGTCTTCATCTCTCCCTCTAGCCACCTCTTCCAACTCTCCCCCTTCCATTTCTCCCCCGTCCCTATCACCCCTACTTCCTCAAACACCCCTGCTACCCTCGGTCGCGCCGTGGCCCACGCTAGCCCTAAATCGTGGTTCATGCCACGAGCGTTCACGCGAGCAAAGGGTTGCCGTCCTCGATGAATCAGGACACCCGTGAGGGTCGTTGGTCCTTCGTCCCGAGACAGGAATCTTCCTGTAATTTCGGAACTTAATGTATCCGCCCTTCGTGTCGCTTCCGATAGCACCGCGCGCGAAAGCAGTGTTGTGTGATTTAAGTCGCTCGCAATTTTGCGCTGTTCGAGAAGGTGAGAGAGTACGGGGGAATTTTTGAAATTTACGTGACACGAGACATGATACAAAGCGGCTCTTGCTGTCAACGTCGACTAACTGATAGTTTAAATTAGACTTTTTTGTCCTAAAAAAGGCAGAAGACGAATTAAATTGCGAGAAAAATTGACATTGATGAGAAATATACTTCGCTTTTGTAAAAAAAAGTCATTAGATTTCTAGGGCAAAACAACTCAGCGACTAACATCGTAATATTGATCGTAATCTTCTTCGCGGTTATTTAATTCCTCTTTAATTTTTAACTGTTATTGTTCCAGGTGTGGTTCCAAAACCGAAGGGCAAAATGGCGAAAGAAGGAACACACGAAGAAGGGTCCCGGGAGGCCGGCGCATAATGCTCACCCACAAAGTTGCAGTGGAGAACCTATCCCACCTGAAGAACTGAGACGGAAAGAACGCGAAAGGCGACAGAAAAAGTTGCTCAAAGCTCTCGAGAGACAGCAGCGGAAGCTAGCTGCTAAAGTAAGTTGCATTTATATTTGCAGATATCTCTCTATATCTGCAGATATCTATAGATCTATAAGGAAAACTCCTTATCTACAGACTATTATAAAGATTTATAGATATCCTTACGACGTTTTTATGCTGAAGAAATATTCTTATACTGATTGCGTTAGATCATGGGGGATTCCCAATTCTGTGTACATTTATAATCCGTGACAGATTGACAAACGAAATTCTGTAAATCTAACTTAAAGTTAATAATATGACTTAAAGCATTGGTTTGGATTGTTTAAGATTATATTAGATTAGGTTGAACCAAGCTGGAACGCGTTAGCTTCACCTACTGCAGTTACATATATTAACATAAATTAACACTCATCAACATTCATTAACATCAGTAGCCATATGTAGGGGCATTAGATATTTCCCCCTTGTATCCTTTCGTTTCCCTCTAATTTCAGGGCATAACAGTGGACTTGTCGACGCTGCGTGCCGAGTGGGAGTCTCGTAGCGAGGCAGCGTCGGGGCGAGGCGGTTCCGCGAGCGGTCCCCTGAGCAACTCCTTTGGTCAATTAGGTCTAAACAACGAGAGCAACATTTCTGCTTCCGGCAACGATGCTAACGAGGAGATCGACGTGGTAGGCGGACTGGACTCCTGCAGCGAAAGCGGAAGTGAACGGGTAGATTCCGCGGCCGACGGGTCTGTGGACGGTGAATGTTACCCGACGGTAAACAGCAACGCCATCGAGTCCGGCGAGAGCCGAAAGAACCCACAAAATTCCACGATCGAACACCTGAACCACCAACCTGGTATTCACCATTGGGGCTTGAGCTTACTAGAGCGACGACGCGAACTGGTGGCTGTTGGCACGGGTCGTCAGCAGGCCGGCAACGGAGGCAGAAATCTGATCAGGCAAGCCACCAGCGAAGAGGAAGTCCAAAGCGGTAGCATCGACCTCTCGGTGAAGGGCAGGGAGGAGAGAAAGAGGCTGAACCCGTTTTCTATCGAAAGTCTGCTGGGGAATAATCGAACTAGCGGAGCGTCGGAGCGCAGGCCAGCGACGCCGACGACGCCAACGTCGCCGATGTCGTCGGTCTGCACGTCGCCCTCTACAACGTAGTGAACAGGCGAAGGGGGAGACGCCGAAGTGAGCCAGTTTAAAGAGACGCGGTTGGCGATGGTGAAGTGCGATTAGTTGGGGTTCTCCTCTTCGGGATACCAGTGAACGGTGAAGTGATCATCAGATCAACAAAGACTGAAAGGTGTGAAGCGGTTCTTTCGATTCTCCTGGTCGGAAAATGAAAACAAAAGAAGAACTAGCCATAGTAATGCTCCTATTCCCATTTCAATCAGGATCCCAATTCTGACTGAAGACAACAGATTCGTGGATATCCTTGCATACTTGTAGACACTCTTTTACGCCCTTCGATGGGATGCGTCTAGATCTTTGGTATCCTGACGTCTTTGGAGAATCTCTGTACGAGCTCGAGAGACTCGAGAGAGACCAAAGAATGGGAAACACGTAGGTAGGTTGAATTTTAGAGAGATCCGAGAATCCGCAAGTCGCGGAGCTAAATCGCAACTACGTAACTCGAGAAGGCTCTTTGAGTCCAGTCGAATTCGGGAGTCCAGAAATCACACGTCATCAACTTGGATCGAGAAGGCATATATCAATTCGACATATCGAATGCATGCGTGACCGTCGTAGATCGAGTGAGTTTGATTTCATCCATTGTGTCTCCTTTCAAAGAAGAAAATGGAAAAATGTGCAATAAACGCGGATGCACTCGTCGGATAGGCGAGTCGTCCATTTTCGAGGTAAGAGAGAACGAGAGCGAGAGCGAGAGAGAGAGAGAGAGAGAGAGAGAGAGAGAGAGAGAGAAAGGAAAAGACAAAAGAATGAGTGCATATGTATGTATTTAATGTAAATAGTGGGAAGGAGGTTCTGTTTTATTTAATTTGAGTAGTTGATACCCCAGTGTTCGTCGATCGCGGATATTATTTAAAGCAATAGAGCAGGGGTTCTCAACTCTTTACACTCGCGGGCAATTGAATCAGAAGAAATTACTAGAAACTTGCACGTTGGCATAATTTAAACTCTCACAGGGAAGATAATGACAGGCTGAATTGGGTAACATTTTTTCCAGCAAACTGTTTGTGGTAGTGTAATACTAAAAACAACGTCAACTAGGTCGAGCCGCAAAAGTGTGAACGCGAAAGCTTTGAGGACCTCTGCGATAGGATTTTGCCTGACTGTATATACACATAAAAATCCTACGCGAGCGTGAGTACGGTGCGGTACAAAAATTTGCTCTCCCCACCCCCCGCAAGCAAGATAGATCTATGAGCTTGGTTTATGGTTAGGGGTGATTAAGAGTTGCCATACGATGATCCGGGATATGCGAAAACAGTACCTATCATATATCCATTAAAAATATATTAATTTATTCTCCAAACTACGCTGGTGTTCAGTCATTGGAACCTCTCGTATGCCGTCTTGTCCCTCTTCCTTTCTATCGACTTTTTAAAAAATCAGTAATAGGTAACGATAAGTCTACTGAAACAACACGTATAGTAAGTATATTTTAGTGTATTTAATACTTAGTGTAAAATCAAAATCACTAGCTCACACAATCAACTGCCAAACTTTATCAGATCTTTGTGCTAATCGCTGTTGTATTTAATATATTAAAAATTAGAATGTTGCAAGAAAGCACAATATGTTAGACAGAAATCAATTCCAAGTTGATTTCAAAAAATGGTCTCGAGGAAATGATCGAATTTTAACGAAGAAGTCACCTAAAAGTGATGTATCGCGGATGATATCTTCGTCGCTTGATTCGCGAGAAAAAAGGCACGAATTGGGTTTTCAATCACACAGATACAATTTATGCAAATCCACGTGGACGCGATTTATGCTCACCGCAAGTCGGGACGCTCTCGCTGAAAGCCAAGAGCCAAGCTTTCGTTCATTTAACGTCGATGGGAGGGGAAGGGGACTGGAAGAATAATAACGATGTACGACAATGCACGGCCGCTGTTGGCGTCGCGTGGCGAACAATGAGTCGCGCATAAATCATAGGCACCGGCGTAACATCGCGTCCACTGTTATATTGCAGTTGCAACGCTATTTATATACAGCACCGTTAAAAATATCGCGCCGGCTGATTTCTAAACTCTATTCTGATGGATCCTGTGACTTTTATATAGCGGAACTCTGATATTATACAATCGGATTTCGTAACTGTAATTACAGTACAGTTATGTGATAATATGAAATATTAAATTGACGATAAAACGAAAACACGCATTCCTACATGGATTAATTTCTTGTTGTTAAACACGATAGTCGTCTGATAATTTCCCTATCAGTTATTTTAATTTTGCATTTACATTAAGTTCTAATACAAGTAGTTACTGAGTTTAAGCGCAAGTAAAGCGGACACATACGCGGGCGAAACGTCTGAAATATTTCGACTGAACCTGCTCGAACATCATCGAACAGACATATTCTACATGTCTTAACTATGTCCCCAATGAACTCTTTTATTTATCTCCTTCAATTGTAGGGAAGAGATCAGAGAAATACATGTTCATTAAATAAGCGAGTGTCGCACGCGAGTGTGACCTTGCTGCTTTCTTTAACAAATAGAAATCCGCGGCATCATAAAAAAATGGAGAAGGACGTAGCGGAAGGCAATACGTATCGCGGCGGAGACAATATAGCGCGTCGCCGCGTGTGATTTATGTATGAGCATTTACGCGCGCGCGCGACCGGGCGTCTCCACAAAGGGCCATTGTGCGATCGCGACGTGGCACGGTTAATATTATTAGCCATCCACGAGGAGCTGCGCTTAAACGGCCGATGCTTTCTGCCCTCGCCCTGAACCTGAGGACTCTATTACTGGCCAATCCTGCGGCGGTTATCTTCTCTTCCTCGTTCACCGTGCGAACCATTGTCACCAGGCACGAACGACATTACCTGCCCGCTTTGGTCTAGCGAAGTCCAAAGCGGCTCCTTGATCGCCGAGAAAGATGATAATGCCGCCGTATATCCGGAAGAGGCGTTACATGCAACACAGTATAAGTTGAAACGCTAAAGAAATGATTCTGTGCGGCCTCGAGACTAGACTAGAACGAATTCCAAGATTTGGCGATAAACTAAGCCTAAATTTAGTGTTCGATGACAGTTCATTAGGGTTGGGAAAGTTACTTTTTAAAAGTAACTAGTTACAGTTACAGTTCCCCTTGCTGAAAATGTAACTAGTTACATTTACAGTAACTAGTTAGTTATAAGGTACTGGCTATGAAAAGTAACTCGTTACTACAGCTACAGTTACTCAAAAAGTAACGAGTCGTTACTTTTAAGTTACTTTCTTGAAATGATTGTAAATTATTATTGTAAATACAAAAATCTTATATTTTAAGCTTTACTAAAATAAAGAATTAAATAAGAATTTAATAAAAATTAAATATATAAAATAATCTTACTTATCATAATATATCAAGTATAAATAAGAATTAAGTAAGAATTAAATTTTATAATTAATATCTATCACGTTAATTAGTCTATCCACTTAACAAATTTCAAATCTATACTTAAAATAATAAAAATTTAATAATAGTCTTATAGAGGTAAAAGAATTTAATCACATGCTCCATAAATACGTTAATAAATTAATATAATGAATACTAATCATATTAATATACGATTACTATATAATTTTAATTTTATTTTATGTTTTCCAAGTAACTATTAAAGTAACTGTTAGAAAAGTTACAAGTTACTAAAAATAAGTAACTAAGTTAAGTTACAATTACAGGTAAGAAAAAAGTAACTAAGTTAAGTTACAGTTACCGAAAAAATGTAACTGTAACTGTAACTTCGTTACAAGCAACGAGTTTCTTCCCAACTTTGCAGTTCATATAGTTTATTTGACAAGTGAGAGACAATTAGCAAAAACGACGGGTAGATCGGGTATCGACTGATACTTGCGAGATAATCTTTAGTCTCGGCCACGTAACTTATAATATTACAGATTCCGCGATTTGGAAGTAACAGTTAATTAAATTACACGTAGGACCCTTGAATTCTTATTTGAATTCTTTATGCGTAATATCTAATCCGAGTTATTACTCTACAACTTCGATCAATAGTTTATTATTTTACTGAATAACGTTATCCTCTTTCCCCTCCTTAAAACTTTTATTCTTTCGCCAGTGATGTCTACTATTGTATTTATTTGCTGTGCGTAAGAAAAGTTCATTGTATAATTTTAAATCTCCCCTCTCTCCCAAATAGAAACTTTTTGCATCAGACTGATCTATTCATCTATTATGATTGATTCATTTATTAGAATTTTTAGCGAAATGGAGTTACGATCACCGTTCTTTCACGACACAGTACAGTAGAGCTGTCTTCGTTCTTTACGTTTGCACGCCGCAAGAGTCTATAAAACATAGTAACTCACTCACATCATTATACCGCCTTTTCTGGCCGTGACAAATGATGCCGGTAATTGTAGCAAAGCCGCTCGAACCTGCGTGCGTTTCGTTTACTGGTCTACACAAGAAAGCAGAGTGATTGTACATTCGCTGCTTGATTGACTCTTGTGGAAGACAACGGAAGTGCTGTGTTATTTCAGCTTTTAATTTCCTCAATATTGAGAGTCTAAGCCGCACGGAAAGAGGCACGAAATGAACAATTTACGATGAAATGAGCACTCTTCTCGAATGATTATGTCACAGAGCCGTGAAAGCGCTTCTGCATACCTGATATAGCAAGATGGAGTATCCGAACAAAAAGCTTGAAGCACAGCGGGTAACAATTAGATCCTAGCTGGCCATTTCACGGCGATGAAACAACTGGCCGCACGCTCGACGTTTATATCAGGCAGATAGAGATATCGGGACATCGAGATTCGAGGGTTGGTCGAGCAGGCGTCACCTGGCTCGCGCGCGATCACGACGTGCTCGAAAATCACACGAAAGCGCCGCTGCTCGGCGCTCGTTAACGTTCCCCGCGATGGTTCCCGAGGAATATGGGTGTAAATTATTCCGGGATCGCGATTAGAGGCCGGCCAGCCACCTGCCGGATTCATGCACAGAGACTGCAAGGTATTAATAATCCTAAGATTTACGAGATCCCCGATCGCTGCTCTTCTTCGTTAGGAGGACGCCCTCATTGTCGGTCGGATAATATGTATCGTTACCTGTGCCTATACTCGACTATAACGCGAGGAAAAGAGAGAACAAGACTGAGGGACTGAGACACGAGAATATCTTGAGTCCCTTATTTACTGCTAACTTTCGACGTTTAAAGTGTAATTCAATGCCTTGCCGAGGTAAAAGCTACCGGATTTCCTTTGAGCCTCTGGATTCTTGGTATCCCCAGATCCTGCGTGTCTTCTTGAACACTCGCGATATTTGGCCCTTTGAGTTTGTTTGACGCTCGGAAAATACACACTGATCACTTCCATAGCACGAATTTGCCGGACACAAGAGACCGTTTCGTTGTTATCACGACTGAAGGTTCCGTAAATATGAAGGACTGCAGCTTCTATCTATCTCGTACTGAGTTCGCGGAAAGGGTGAGTGAGAATAAGACTGGCTCCTCCCGCCGAGGTGTAACTCGATCGAGTTCGATCCAATAGATCAGACGGCAGATTCCTTGCCGGTTATTACAAGGGGTCGGAGGTCGATCGCTCGCATAAACCATTTAGCTCCGATCACCTATCGATACCGATATTTCCCAGAGGTATCGGCTATCTTTCCGCTCGATCTTTGTCCGACAAGGCTCTCTCTCCTTGTCTAGATGAGCCCTACCCACTCCGCGCCAGATTAAATATCTGAGGCTAGTGTTCTAGCCCTTCCATTGGCTCCTCTCTCACTCTGCGATGTGTTTGTGTATCAAGTATTCTTTTCACGGTAAGCGAACCCGATAATTTGCCGCGGATTAATATTTCGCGCCTGTTATATTTTAACCTAGACCAAAAAGAAGTGTCAAAAATGAACTTAGAAACGGAGCAATGTTTGCGTCCAGTAGAAGCTATGAGAATTCTGGAATTTATAACAATTTATTAACAATAAAAGTAATGAGATGTGAGGTAGTTTTAAATGCAAGCGCGCTTTCCGCATACGTCATTCTTTTTTAGATGTAAGTTATTTAGGTGCAATATCATTTTACTTTCGTCTCGCCCGCGCGGGATTAGATTTTTATGTTGGCGCGAATGAAATTGACTGTGAATGGAGCGAGTGGCAATATTAGTGTGCGAGCGAGGTGCGCATTATGAATGTACGTATGTGTGTGTAATCGTTTTTATTAAATACATACATTTCTACTAAACTTTAAGGATTCCGAAAAGCGTTATTCATTTACCCATCTGCTCTCTTAGAGCTTTCGCAGTCTTATCTTCATTCACTCTTTCCGACGGTAACAATTTCCAACAAAGAATCTAAC